ATGGTCCCTGATGTCAGAATCATAGAGCACCGTGTTTGCTTCGATCTGCACTGTATGCGTTATAGCAACCAAACCATTGACTTTTAGCCTAATATAATTATCCCATCAAACTCGTAGCCCTCAATTTAGGGGGGTAGGATGTTTTTGGATCATTAACGATGTGTGCTTTGCAGGTTGGATAGAAGAAGACAACCGAAGCTAGGGCTTCGACGGCTCTCCGGCCAATACATTCGTTTGTATATTATATATGTTTTGATTCATTTAAGTTAATGGATGTATCACGACCCCAACGGTTGAAGTGCGCGTGATAAGGTCTTAGTATGCCAAGGTGTGGGTTCAATCCTAGTCTTTTGGCATTTTAATATTTTTTTTATGATTTATGTGTTTTGCAGGGCATATAACACGCTGACTTCCCTTCTCCAACATAGGCGCGCGCCTGGCTTGGTGGTTAGAATACTGGCTGGAAGTCCTGAGGGTGTGGGTTCAACACCCACACCTACCCTTTGGTTTATTTTCTATATTTCTCACTCTTTTTCTCACCCTTTTTTCTTTAAATTCACAAAATTTACAATTTTTTTTTTCAAAACATTTTTTAATAAACCCTAATTTAGGTTTTTGGTTTTTTTTAATTAACCCTAATTAAAATTTTTAGGTTTTTTTATTTAATCAACCAATTTAGGTTTTTTAGGTTTTTCACTAATTAATCATTTTTAAAAAAAATTAAAATCAACTTAGATTTTAGGGTTTTGTTTTAATTTAATTAACCAATTTCTTTTTTTAATTAAAATCAATTAGGGTTTTTTTTATATTAAACATCAAACCTTTCTCTATCAAAATCACAAAAAAAAATAATTTTTCCCTTTATTTTGTAATCTTCGCGTACTTTATTATTTTCGCGTTATTTTTCCAATTATGTAACTGCTATGGTTTGTAATACTTTAAATTAGGGTTTTGCTTTCTATTTCCCCCAATTTTTACTGTTTGTACCCCCTTCCTGAAGTCTTGTAATATTGTAGCATTTTATTTCCCGCACTTTAATGCTTTTCATTATTGTTACATTATTTTGCTAGTAATTAGGGTTTGTATGGAAAGGTATAAAAATAATCAATTGCTAACCCTAAATTCAAAGATAAATAAACTGAACATGAATCACTTTTCACACACGCACCTCTAGGGTAACCTCACTCGTTTCCTCGGAAATCAGTCATGTCCCTCGAACGCAGGGATACCCTTAACAGAGACCCTCAGTTAAAATCATCATAAAGATCATAGACCCGCGATGTCCCTCGAGTTGCCTATGAGAAATGATCTTATCCCTCAATGTTGCCTACGAATATATGATGACAGTCTCTTCGAATTGCTAAGGTATCCCCACGAGTTGCCTTCAATGACTGTACGATGACCCGCGCCTGCCCCTACACATCCAATGATAGGGCTTTTTACTAACTAATGGTAGGGTATCACTATCTGAAGGAGGAGGAAAATAAAACAAACGGCCTTGAGTAAGGGTAGGATATTGTTAATCGCTTGCGCACACTTTTCAAAAAATATTTTTCACAATCACTTTCTCTGAAATATTTTCAAAAACAAACACTTTGTACGCATACTTAACTAATACAAGAATCGTTACAAATTTGTCGTACTTAGGCAATTTTTTCAAAATATTAAAAAAAAACACATACACACAAAGCATTTTAAAATAAATTGAGCTAGCCATTAAGAGCCCGTAGATAACTACAAATGAAAAGGGTGTTAACACCTTTCTTTTTCATAACCTATCCCCCGAAATCAGAAAATTCTCAAAGGTCTTTTCTATTATTTTCACCCTTTCCTTATTGGATAAAAGAAAAATCGGCGGTGATTCTTGCTATCCGCATATTTAGATAAAACCAAAAAAGTCAGTTCTCCCACCGTATTACACATGGGAAGAATAACTTTCCACACGTAGTCACCAACTGCAAACATCTTTATCTTGGACTTTTTATTGTAGGCCCTTGCAACCCGCTCATTTTTGTCGAATTAGCATATCTACCGTAGCTAATCTTTCTTCATCTAGATCCACTATTTTGTCAAAAACGATATTCCAATATTGTTCTGACAAAAGTTCGTGTTGGCGCAGTACTCATACTGACTGCAAGTGTACTTCAATTAAAAGACCACATTGTATCCAAATACCATTCGAAAAGGCGTTGATCTAGTTGCTTCCTTGGGAGACGTTCAACAAGCCCATAAAGCTTGATCCAACGTCTTATGCTAGTTCTTAGGTTTCTTAGAGACGTGTTTCTTAGTTAACCCAATTATTACTTTATTGGCAGCTTCGACCTGTCCATTGGCTTGATCATAATAGGGCGTGAATGTTACTAACTTGAAGCCTATTTCATCCGAAAATTATTACATCTTTCGCCCAATGAAAATCGACCCTTGGTCTATAGTGATTGTCTCAGGAATTCCAAATTTATAAATGATGTGCTTTTGAATGAATTCAATCACTACTTCTTGGCCGACATTGACTAATGGTATTGCTTCTATCCATTTAGTGAAGTAGTCTATCCCCACCATGATGAACTTTTGTTGCTTCAATGAGGCTGGTCAAATTTCTCCTATGATATCCAGCGCCCATCCTTGGAATGGACATGGCTTAATAATTGTGTGCAATTCACTTGCAGGTGCATGTTGAACACCCGCGTACTTTTGGCATTCCTGACACCCTTTAGCAAACTCAAAACAATCTTTCAGCATACTTGGCCAATAGGCACCCTGTCGGAATAGCAGCCATTTCATTTTATGGCCGGCTTGTGGGAACCACAAGCTCCATTGTGGACTTTGACTATTGCCAAATATGCTTCAGTATCTCCTAAGCACTTGAGCAAAACCCCCTTCGGAAGTCTTTTTAAACAATTCATTGCCCATGCACACGTAGGTCAAAGCCCTGTATGTTATATTTCTATCAACATTTCCAACTAGATTTTCTAAATAATTCACGATTGGCATTCGTCAATCCGTGTGTTACAAATTGTCAATGGAAAAAACTTTGCCAAGTCATGTGTCCCCCCAGCTTTGGGATTGACAATGTTGATAATGGTGTCGACACTAATTTTTCCCTTACCTCAACAAAACTTTTTAGCTTGTCAGTTGATACTTTGTACCCAGAAGCAATTTGTGCCAAATCATTAGCCACTTGATTTTCTAATCAGGGCACGTGTGTGATGCTTACAACTTCAAAATATTTCAACAATTGATTAACCACCACAAAATATAAAAACAAATGTTCTTTAATGCCTTTATTCTCGAGTTATTTGATTGATCACTAGTTACGAATCACCTTTGATTTCGACCCTCTTTGCACCTAAGTCTTTCAAAAGTTTAAGCCCAGTGATCAAAGCCTCATACTCCGCTTCATTGTTGGAGAATTTTCCATCTACCCTACATTTGATTTTTGTTGGCACTCCTTTTGGAGAGACAATTAGAACTCCGACACCAGTTCCATTCTTATGGCTTGACCCGTCAAAGTATAATATCCAAGGGTCAGTGGCTATCAGATTTACTGATGGCTCAACTATGGCGTGATCGACTATGAAGTATGCTACAATTTGGCCTTTCATGGCCTTCAAAGGCATATAAAATAATGAAAACTCAGTTAAAGCAAGTGCCCACTTGCCAATTTGACTATGCAAAATTGGTTTCGACAACATATTTTAATGGCATCATAATGAGATGAAACATAAACACCAACTAGTTTAATATATTGCTTAAGTTTAATACATGAGAAATACAAACATATGCATAATTTTTCTATCATGCTATACCTAGTTTTTGCATCTATTAATACACGACTAAGGTAATAAATGGGTCTTTCGACTCCGTTATCATCCTCTTGGGCTAACATGCTCCCTATTGTTAAATCAAATACAGCTATGTACAATCTCATGTTCTTATTTCGACTAGGTGGAAATAAAATGGGAGGCCTTGTTAAATATTCTTTGATTGCATTGAAGGCCTCTTGTTGTTCCTTTCCCCAATGAAAGTCACTTTCCTTCTTGATCTTCAATATTAGCGAAAAAACCTTCATTTTGCCACTTAGATTCAAAATAAATCTTTTCAAGAAGTTGATTTCCCCCAACAAAGACTGCAACTTCTTCTTTGTCGAAGGAGGCTTGAGATCCAAGATTGCCTCTATTTTGCTTTGATTAATCTCAATGCCTTTTTTGTGTACTACAAAACCTAAAAAATATCCTGCATACACACAGAAGGCACATTTTAGTGGATTCATTTTCAATTCATATTTCCTCATTCTTTCAAAGGATCTTCGAAAATGGTCTAGATGACCATTCTTAGATGAAGATTTTATCACAATGTCATCAATATATATTTGCATGAAATCTTCTATAAAATCGTGGAACATGGCGTTCATTGCCCTTTGATAGGTGGCTCTAGAATTTTTCAGACCGAATGACATTACCACCCACTCATATGTTCCTAATGTCCCTTGGCATCTAAATGTTGTTTCGGGTATATCCTTATCTGCAATAAAAATATGATTATAACCAGAGTATCCATTAAGCATGCTAAGATATTCATACTTGCAGCCGAATCGACTAACATTTCTGCTACAAGCATCAAATATTCATCTTTAAGGGTAGCGTTATTTAAATCTCTAAAGTCTATACAAACTTTAAGAGTTCCATTTTTCTTAATAACAAGAATAATATTTGCTAACCACTCGACGTACCTTGTGTTGCACCCCAAAATTTTCCCTCCTAATTATCCCACTATCCGACTTTAGATTTTGTATTCACATCTTTTCATTAGGTCATCTGCACTAACATAGCATGTATTTGCATTGAAAAAAGCGTCGGAGGTTCAGAAGTTTGGTAGGCGTACAAGCTAGGGTTTTTACAGTGGATTGAGATATAAATGTTCCATAAAGTTTGAGTTCCTTGGTTCGTTCCTCAAGTTGTGAATTGTGAATTAGGTCCTCCTCTTCCCAAACACATGGTTTTATGCATGATATGAGATGTGGCCCCATTAATAGGGTTCAAGTCATTCAATTGGATTTCTTTCAAAGGGATGTGCATCATATATGTGGTTATTATGAATCATGGAGTAAGAAGCTTCATTGTTGTGCTTACGCTTATCATCGAAACAAGGGTTTGTCTCCCAATTCATATGGCTCACTATCATCCAAGGGTCAATTTGATCGGTTACTTGGATTACAAGGCATAAAACATGGTTTCGATACAAGATAATAAAGTTTAGATTCGTCTATATCTCACTCCATAAATTAGAGATCTGTGTATCATGTTTCAAAGTTACTTTTCTAGTTAACTTTGGGCTTAGGATATAAAGCATTCGGGAGTTGAGATTCAATTCTGAGTCTATGGATTCATTTATCAAGCACGCCATTTGAAGTTACACGAGATTCAACTTGTCATGAATTCTTGAGTTGTATATGAGGATTGATTTAAGATGAACATGGAATAGAAGTTTTTAATATGGTTAAAGGATAATTCACTTAACTTGCTTGGAGAACTAGTTAAAAGTGGTGTTTTATTGATTGAAGTTAAGGTGTTTGCGTCCAATAAAAGCTCATTTCTTCTGATTATTTTGGTTACTTCTGCAAGAAGTGAAGTATGGATTAGAGTTTTATAATGGTGTTCTATACGTCAAGTCTTGGGTTCCTCAAGGACATTAATTTTGTTGTGAGGTCATTGGTTTTCAAGTTAATTTGACTGGTGGACCAAATTGCAAGATAATTTGATTATGAAGAATTGAAGTTAGGGGTTGATGATTTATCAAGAGCATAAAAAATTCTTAAAGTGCAAGAAATAATTCATGGTTCTTTTCAAATGCAAGAAACAAGATTCAAAGGGAAAGACATTTTCGTTCGGTCTAATTTTATTCAATTGTTAATTCTGGTTCAAGTTTGGAAGTTGGATAATATTCCAAAACTCCAATTTTCATTCAAATTCTTGGATTCGAGCTTATTCATGATTTGATTTGGAAATCCAACATAGACCTACAACCTGCAGTAACAAAAATTAGACAAAATATTTTTCACTGCATATTGAGGCAAAAACAAACAATTCAACAAATTGGAGCCTTGTTCTTGCTATTAGCTGCAACAGTTTTACAAAGTGTTGGTGAAGGCTCTAACAAAGGTTCTACTGGTGCTAATGTTGATCAAGTTTTATTCAATGGAATAGTTCTTGTACTAAATTGCTTCAGTGTTATCTAGACTAGTTTCTGCCCTGTGTTAATGGGTTTCTCAGGTTAAGAAACACTCATCATATCTAATGACTATAGAAATGTCAATTGTTGGAAGCCATGTTGGCGGTGTTCGGAAGGGACTTGTCATTGTCTCAACTTTACTCATTACAGCATTGCCACATTTCATTTTTGAAGGAAAACCGTCTTCGTCGTATTGCCTTGTGGCTCTTCCACTAGTGGTCAGTAGCATTTCAATATACCAGAAATAATCAAACCAGAAGAAAAATCAGGAAAATCGGAAATAATAACTAACTGAATCAAAACAGAATTCCAAACTATAACTACCCTTCTAACTATCTTAGTTACAACTATCAGATCAATCCTAACCATTGGAGTCCCTAACAAACTTCTCAACCTATGGCTCAGATCAATAACTCATGTAACTAACTTTCATATTCTAACAGAATTATATAACAGAAAAACTCACCTTTGATAATCATTCTTCAATCTATGGAGAATCAACAGAGAAGAATCACAAAAATCCTCTCTTCTTCCTCTCTTTATCTTCTTTCTCCATCACCAAAATACTAGAAAAAATCAATCACTTTCTCCCTCTTCAACTGAGTTTCATCATCACCTTCAATTATCATCAGTACCTCCTACTTATTCAATTAAAATCCTCAACATCTTCAGTGCACCTTCACCATCTCTGCACAACAACAACTTCACTGTTTCGGCAATTTCGATTTGCATTACATTATTCATCATCATCATCTTTTTGTAACGCAAACAACAATGATTCGTGACACTCAGTCATAGAAAAACATAGAAGTAGAAAATCTAGGAAGAAGTTATCGTGGAAGTGTTAAACAACGTACCTGAATTGTTTTTAAAAGAGTATTTGGAATTCTGTCTTGTTATCAGGAACTACGAAACACTATCGGAGTGTCTTCGACCAGTAAGCTTCATATCTTCCATTATCTCCATTCTTGTGCTCGATTCCTTTTAATGGTAGGATTTTGAACGGACTTCTGTGGGCGTTTCTCTCAAGGTCCCATAGCCGAATTCACCATCGTTAGCATTTCAATTTGGATGTTAAGAAATCTAGGGTTTTCAGAGTTACTCGTAGGTTTAGGTTGATACCAGTGGGATTGAAAGAAAAACCTTATGGAGGGTCGATCTTTGTTCGACGATGGTTATACAAAGGCGATATAATGCAAAGAAGATGGATGAGTGTAGAGAAGAGGTGGCTCGTCTCAGAGAGAAATGAACGGTCACAAGTAATGTTAAATGGAGATGAGTTGTTGACTTTGAATAAGTCTTCCCTGGGCCGTGACTTTTTTTGCTAAGCCCGTTTCCATCTTTTGGAAGCCTGAAACATTGTCACAAAAATTGCTTTCTGGACCTTTCTTCCTGGGCTAGGCACTAGATTTCTGATCCAAACATCCCTGAATCCAGCTACACCCCTGACTTTTTTTATTATTATTAGATTTTAGTTAATTTATTTTTTCATAATTTTTGTTAATAAGGTATAGTTGATGAAATCAAAACAATAGAAAATGTTAGAGTTAGAATTTTTCCTTTGCTAATCTTTTTTTTATGATAAAAATTTACGAGATCAATAAAAGCTTGTTATATTTTTAATTGATTTTAGAAATTAAGTTGTAATATAGATGCTTAATTTCGATTATAATTTCCTTGTTATTTATAACTCATTTATTAACATGTGCAAGGCATTTCAAGAAGAACTTTCCATCGTTTATTTAGATTAAAAAGCATTTGCATTCTTTATTTGCTGATTTAGGATTCGCTTCCAACATGATTTATCTTGATTCTCATTACATGAGAAATATACATTGCTTGTGTTTTTGTATGGATTGTGAATTCTTGTGCAGGTGCACTGTTTGTGATACAAATGCTTTTGATGTATGAATTGCGCATGTGATTAATTTTCACGTTGCTGATTTCTAATCAGTCTCTTGTTGTGGATGCTAGATCACTATAAGTTCTTTGGGTTTCTTACATTTTTGCTTGTGGTGTTACGAACTTTTGTTCGTTTGGTATTACACTACTTACCTTTTTACCATTAATGTGCTTTACCGATTTCTAGATATCAACTTTACTGTTTTCTAGATATCATGAGAAGTAGGAAATAAAGAGCGTGCGCTCTAAGTCGCTATTTAAAGTCCTGTAGCAGGCACCGCTTTCTGTATGTTATTTATGTTTGTTTAAAATCCTACCTTTGAAGTAGGTATTCTGCATGTGTATTTACATTTTGCCCGCATTATATTATAGGTGATAAGTCCTCAAAAGAAGGAAAGCGGGGAGGTTTCATAATCGACCCCTCCACATTCTAGTCCGTGTCATCCTTAGCTCATGTTGTACGTCGATGCTTCGGAGTTGTGCAGATCCCGTGTATCGAGTCCGTCAAGTGGGGAAGGGTTTTGCAATCAAACCCTAACGCTTTGTTATAAGTTCGCATTGGCTGATGCTGACACTCAATGATCATTCATATTGTATTCTGTCACTTACCTCGATCTTCTATATCTTGGTTAGGTGTTCAGTCGCTTTGGATGTCACATTTTTTGTTTTACATCTGTCTCCCTCTTGTTTGCTTCGGGTGATACGCTCCCCTTAGCTAAATTATTTCTCTTGTTTCCCCCATCCCTTTGAGTCAGTATATGCTACTCATGTTTGCGTGCTTTTACCAAAGCACTTGTTTGCTTATTTGGTTGATATGCCATGTTCCCTTAGGATTTCTCGATTAGAGTAGCTTTAGAGTTAGACATTAAGATATGTATCCATGCATGCTAACATAGGGTAGAGATTCCCCTTTTAAAACTCAATCTTAGGGTCGGTCATTGTATGATAACATTAGGGATAAATCTAGGTTAGTCCCCCTTAGATGTTTTTTCTTTCTTTTGCATCCTTGCATTAAGACTAAAACTCATTTTCTTGAAAAAAGCATAAAACATATAACAATTTTCAAATCTTTCTTTAAGGTAAAAAATATCAACCAATGCAAAATATTTTTCGCCTTCGGGCTCCTTTATTTTCTTTCAAACCTTTTCAAATGAACATGTTAATTCACTTCTGTGCTGACACGTGAGTCTCCAAATGTCGAGCTGCGGCAGAAGGAGAAATTAATATTGTTTATTAAAAAAATACAAACCAACAGAAACTTTTGAGCCGAACTATAGCTGCTCTGATTCCTTAAAAGGGATACGTAGGCATTGGGGTAGGGCCCGAACAAGCACAACTTTATTTTCGCTACATTATTTTCTCTTTTCTTTTGCATGCATTCTCTATACAACTTAGATATATATTTGAAACACACCCTTTGATTAGAACAACAATAATGGATACAGTAGAGTACTACAAGCGTATGGGATGGTAATACCTTCCCCTCGCGTAACAGGCTACCTTACCCGATCTCTCGATCGTTTGGTCGTGATTTCACCCTTCTCAGGTTTACTCGATGTTTACCTTTCCCTTCATGTGGGATAAAAGATGTTCGATGGTGACTTCATTGTTTGATGATTTTCAGCCGATTGTTTCAGCTGGCGACTTCACTGGGGACAGATTGACCTATTGCTGGTCCATCCCGGAGTCGATCCTAGCTCTTATTTGTTTACTTATTTGGGTGTTTATTTATTTCCAGTTATTTACAGCTTTATATACACTGCTTGCATATGTTTGTGCCTACATTTTATTGCTTTCCATATTGGATACTACTGTGTTGGATCTGTTTTCATGATAGGTGGGTGTTACAAGAGATAAAAGGCCCAACACCCAGGCCAAGTGAAAACCATAGGAACACTAGGAATAGAGTGGAACATGACGAATAGGGGATGTAGATTACCCTAGACGGATGTGTCATCCATGCTCATATGAGGTTTTAATAAGGTGTTATATTATCATGTAGGTGTACGATGATAGTACTCTCAAGCGAACCCCGTGATTTTGAGTTACCTTTGCTTACCCTGACCTAGTTTCACCCGTGAGCGGGGTGAGAATTTTTCTTACAAGTACAGATGGTGACTATTTGTTCTGATGGTGACCATATTATTCAGTTGATGATCATGGTTCTTTGGGTATGTGCCGAACCATTGATCCTGGTATATTTAACTTGTCCATAGATTATACAACGGTTCATGGTACTTGGTTTCAATGTGTTATGATATTGGTGCCGAACCTCTAATCCTGTGATATTCGGATTACTCAACAGATTTATACAGCAGTTACCCAGAGGATTGTACAGTTACCATGCTGAACTCTTGAACCTATTGTTTTGCACTTGCATCATAGCATATTTACCTTTTACAAAAGAAATGTGTAAAAAAAAGTATGCATGAAAAAAGTTAACACACATGTTCTTCCTATTTCCAAGGAATCGTGCTTGTGAACATTATGTTGTGTTTGTCCATCTCTTAGTGGATCAAAATTAAAACTAAAAGCATGCGGGTTCCTTGAAAATGATTAAACATGGCATTGCATCCACTCATTCACCTCATGCATCTTCATGTATTCATAACAGGTACTTAGGATGGGGAATTCTTATTCAGGCCCGATATTTTCTCTTCAGAATTGTGAACTTCGACTTCTCACCACTCTGTTATCCAAAAAAGCCATGGAATGACTTCGTGGAGAATTAGATGAGATGAAAAAAATCAGATGGGGTTTTTATCATGGACATGCAGGTCTTGGTCCATGGTCAGAAATCCTCAAGGGGGAAAGATAACCAGTTAGAGACTCAGTTGAGTCGGATATGGAAGTTCCAAAGACAGTGTCAGTAGAGGAAAATGGTCTTGGATATATTGTTGCAACAAAAGTTGTCATTCATCCCCAGCCTATGGGATGTTTTTCAAATTGAGAGATGATTTGTGGGTCTCATCCAGAACTTTGTGTTCACGAATTGTCTCGTCAGCAATTAGTTTATGGTATCCAAGTGAACCCATGGGGCAAAGCTTATCAACAAAGCTAGAAAAAGCTTGAGAAGCAGGTTGATACAATCTAAATGTATTGCATTCAGTTACTTCCTCGTGTGTTGGAAGCTCAGTTGGTTAAGCTTCGTGCTTTAGGTCACCCTCCCACAAATTTCTCCCCTAATTTTGATGCAAATGCTAGATGTGTCTCCTATTTTGGGGCACCTGGTTATGATATTAAAGACTGCAAGGGGTTGAAGTATGGCGTCTGGTACTTGTCTGGCTTCTTTTCCAAGGTTCAGTCCATGTTTGGCAAACCTTTTCAGGCTCCTTTTCCTCAACTG